GCTCAAATGGTAGAGCAGTACGTACTACGGTTGTGGGTTCGAATCCCGCATAAGCAAACTATTTCTCAAATTTGTATTATATTTAGTCTGAATACAATACATTCTTAAGATTTTTCACCTCACAAAAAGTTACTCAGGTGTCATTATTCACTAATCCACAAATTAATACAAAAATTAAATAAAATATAAAAGCAAGACACAATGCATATATCAAATTATCAGCTAGCATAGTATAATAACATTAAAAAGTCTTTATAAATTTTTAAGTTTTTACTTTAAAATGTGAGAAACTTATAATAAAATGTGATAATATAAAAAAATAACCAAATATAGTTAACCAAAAAATGATAAAAATAACGTGACAAGAAAGTATTATTTATAAATTTGAAAAAAAATCAAAGTAAATAAATAAATCTTTTCCACCGTGTGAAATGCATTAAAATAATGCATATGAGGAATAAAGAGTGCAATAGAAAAAAATATTTAATATTAATTTTTATTGAAGAAAAATGGCAAAAAAAATAAAAAAAGAGAGAAAAAAAGATAAAAACGTGACAACAGATCCAAAAAAGAATCTAAGTGGAAGTCAAATATATGGAAAGCATTAATTTTGGTAATGGATAGTTGCGTGTCATCCATGACCATTTTAAATCCAATACGATTTTACAATATTGCCCCTATTACTCTTTGATTTTAATTCACAATCAATGAATTGATTTCCTTACCTTATAAAACCTAGTGGTGCCCTCCATTTTGTAGAAGGCTTCCATCCATTGATCATTTGAGATCAATGGATCTCATTCATTCTTATTTCTTTCGTAGAAGACCATTCTTATTAGAACCCATATATATATATATATATATATATATGGGATTGACTCCAGTGAGGTGACACCTTACGGTGGGATGACATGCTTCGGTCAGATGACACAAAGCTCACCACTAGTCACTGCAAAGCTCACCAAAGACAACTATAAAGCTCACCAAAGTGTAAGGCAAAGCTCACCATATTTTTTCAACACTTTGAATTTTTTTCCAAAAAAAAAATCAAAGGAAAGGGTGCTGACTGGACTTTGACTGTTGACTGCCAGCATTGACCGTCGCCTGCCGCTGCCGCCGCCGGTCGCCGGTCGCCGCCGCCGCCGCCGGTCGCTGGTCGCCGCTGCCGCCGCCAGTCGCCGGTCGCCGTCGCCGCCGCTGATCGTTGGTCGGCGGTCGCCGTCGCCGTCGCCGCCGCCAGACTCCGGCCGCCACTGCTGCTCCACCGCCCTTGACCGGTGGTTGACCGGTGTTGTTATTTTATTTTTAATTAATTTTTTAATTTTTAAAATTAAAAAAAAAGGTGAGTTTTGGGGTTCAAAGTGGTGAGCTTTGCTTTATTTCCAGGTGAGCTTTGCATTGTCCATTGGTGAGCTTTGTAGTGTAATGTGGTGAGCTTTGCTTTATTAGCTTTTTTTTTAAAAAAAAGTGGTGAGCTTTGGATTGTTCCTTGGTGAGCTTTCCATTGACAGTTGGTGAGCTTTGCATTGATAGTTGGTGAGCTTTACACTTTGACCGCCCATGACCAATGGCCACCACCGATGACCCCCACTATTTCCGTGGACCGGTGGTTGAGCGGTGGTTGAGTGGTGGTTGAGTGGTGGTGTTATTTTTTCTAACTTTTTTTATTTAAAAAAAGTGGTGAGCTTTGCATTGACTGTTGGTGAGCTTTGCATTGGTAGTTGGTGAGCTTTGCATTGGTAGTTGGTGAGCTTTCCATTGGCAGTGTTGTGTGTTGTGTCATCTCATTGAAGCATGTCATCTTACCATAAGGTGTCATCTCACTGGAGTCAATCCCTATATATATATATATATATATATATAAATATATATATATATATATATATATATATATAGGGGCTGGTTCAGGTGAGAATGTACCTTGGTGAAAGAAATAAGAATAAAAACTAGCCTTTGGATCGGATGCATCGTGCGGCTCAGATTGCATTCTGCACTCAGATTTTGAGATAGTGCATTTTCAAAGGATTTTGATGCATTTCGACATGATGCATTTTTAACCCATTTTGGTGCACCTAATTTTGATGCAATCATGACCCTTAGATCTCACAATCTAAAGCACGAGATTCATTCTTATTTCTTTCATAAGATCGCATTCTCACTTGAACCAAAATCTATATATATGTGTGTGTGTGTGTGTGTGTGTGTATCCTTATCCTCATTCTTAATCATTTTTTGCCTGCTTAAGATTTTACCTTGAATAATATATATGGCAGGGCCTCAAGGTTTTAGCATTTTGCTCGGCTATTTCTATCATTTTGGTGGATGTATGTTTTCAAAAATCATGATATTTTATATAAACTTATTATGAAATGTTGACATTCTTTGAATTTATTGAGCTTTTTTAAATATGTCATGGAAGATGGTTTTTTCCTTTTTACCTAAAATATGCCCTATATGTTGATTAATTAGCCGTTTCAACAGTTCTATTTTAGTAGAAATTTGAATGATGCAGTTTGTTGATTCATTTTTTATGACATTTCTATACTTCTCTTATGAGATGTAATATATAATAATAGATCAAACCTATATTTCTCTTGAATGCATAATTGGCACCATCTTTATAACAGTGGATACTATTTAAGGTACTTGTGGTTTATTAAATTGTTTTTAGGTACTTGTGGTTTATTAAGTTGTTCTTAAATATATTTGGTTTAATATCTTCTTATGGTACATATACAATCGTATTGTAGTTTTGTATTATGTTTTTATGGTACATACTCATAAAAGAAAAAAGTGATAGCGATAGAGAGCTATATTATTTAATAATTTTAATTTTAATTTTTCTTTGATTTTTTGAGTAATGTCTTCTATCATGTGTATCTTTTATTTTTTTATTGATAAAATTTTACTTACATGAAAAATAGTTTAGAGACAATAATCCTTTGAGTTTCAAAACAAATTTATTGCTTATGACAATGATCAATATATTATTCTATGTTAATAAATTTATAATAATGATAACAATGTTTAAAAAGTAATTTATTTTTTATTTTATTATATTATTTTTTAATTTAAGTTTTTTATCAATTTCATAAATATAATTAATGTTAGATTAATAAGTGAATTTTTAAAATAATTCAAATATTTGTATAAATAATCCATGGATTATAAATAATCTACTAGAATCCTATGAAATCATGTTGATAAAATAGAGTAAAATCTATCCAACTCTGCGTAAACTCCAAATAATCCATTGATTTTACAGAGTTGGCAGATTTTAAACAATCTATCGTAATCTTATAAAATCTAGATTGAAGAAGACTTAAAGGATTTAGGGGGTGTATCTCAGCTCCGACCTGACCAAGGGGCCCGAGGTCGACCTCCTTATTGGATGACCCTTGGGTGTGTGGTTGGCCTCAATAGGGCCATTGGGTCAGCCACGCAAGCACTTGCATGGATAATTCGGCCCGACACTATTTTGAAAGCTAAGCCTACTGTGCATAGGCGCAAGATCAGGACTATATATATAATCTTCCCCAACTTGTTGGAAGAAGACACTTTCATTCTTGTCCAAAATCAAACAATCTTTCTCTCTACTCCCAGGTGAAGGATGTCGTCACTTTCGCTATGGTCAAATTAGTGCATATTTGATAACAAATTCAATATTTAGCTTAAACGTTTTAAAAGTGTAATCTAATGACATCGTTTATGTTTAAAGTTATACTCCCTCCGCCTGGAAATAATGTTCCCATTATACCTTTTTTTCGTCCAGAAATGATGTTCCCATTGTACTTATTTTTTACAAACTTTCCAAAACTACCCTCTTCCTCCATTCTTTCTTTCTCTTCTTCCTTTTTTCTTCCATTCTTTCCTTTTTTGATTGGTGACTCCTTTTTTTCTTCCTTTCTCCTCATTTTTTCTTTCTCCTCCATCAACACCGCCACTCCTTCTTCTTTTTTCTCTTCACCTGCTCTTTCTCCCTTCTGCCCAGACATTCTCCCATCTGCCTAGACACACCCCTTCTTCTTTTTTTTTCTTCTTCCTTTTCGTGCTCTTTCTCCGATCCGCACAGATCCCTCCTCCTCCTCCTCCTCCTCCTCCTCCTCCTCCTCCTTCTTCTTCTTCTTCTCCTACTCTTTCTCGGATCTGCACAGATCCCCCCCTTCTTCTTCTTCTTCTCCCACTTTCTTCTAGATAAACAAATTTGTGCCTCAATCACCATCCGCCTCTTCTTCTTCCCTTTCCTCCCCTGTCTTCTCATTCTTCCATATCTGCGATGGTGGGGAATGGCGGTGATGGAGGGACTGGCGGTTGTGACGGGGGCTGGCGGTGATGGGGTGCTGGTGGAGAAAGTGGGATTG